AAATCCAAAAAATATGAATGGGGTGATAGATCACAAGTACAGACTGATCATATTTTGTACATTTTACATAGGATTTATTTGGCAAACTTTTGAGCTGATGTCATCAAGTTTTTGGAGGGGATAACCAAATATATTTTGACTAAAGATTTATGATGCTCTTTATAGCCTTAAAACATCTGCAACATTTCAAAACATTCGGATTAACAGATTCAAAATTAAATTGCAAAATGTTGTTTTATAATTTTGATTTTTTTTCCAAAAATCTGGACGTTTCGGGTAAAAACTCAATTCGGAGTCGTAAACTACATGTGTAGGACTATGTTATTTTATACAATTTAAGACCCATTTACTATGTACAATTTTGAAGTGACGTCATCGCATTAGTGGTGGGGATGATTAGAGAAATTTTGGTTATCGTTTTACCATCTGCATGATATTCCTAATATCATGTATATGAAGTATAAAATTTCACAACAATCGGTCCAGTACTTTCGGAGATTATTATCTGTCTAATAAAAATCCGGGACGGCAGACAGACGGACAGACGGACAGACAGACGGAAATGGGAGACCTATTTCTTCGTATTCTAGGGGTCATGAAAGATCGACAAAACGTAAAAGTACAGAGTCGGCCGACGGACTCGATTACAATACTTCCTTTGCTCGGGAAGTAAAAAAGCGACAGACAAAATACAGAAAAGACAAAAAAAAACGCCAGAAAAAAAAGAGCGTTAAAAAACGTCAAAATAGGAAACGAAAAAGGAATTTAAAAAAGGTGGAAAAATACAAGAAAAAAGACAGATAACTAAAGGCACGACAAAGACACAGAACCAAAAATAACAGGCGATAAAAAAGGGACAAGAAGGCGACAAAAAAATATGGAAAAGCAACAAAAAAAGAACGAATTAAAAAACGACAACAAAAAGCACAAAAAAGCCAATTTAAAAAAGAACAGCGCAAGTGACAACAAAAAAAAGGATACAAAATACGAAAATAAAGCGAGCAAAGTAAAGGCGACAAAAAAATTATTAAAAAAAGCAACGTTAAAAACTGATAAATAATATGAAAAAAACGAAGGAAAGCCAAAACAGACAGAAAGGCAACTAAGAAAATCGTCAAAAAAACAGTAAAGGGTGACAAAAAATGACAAGACGTCAAATCATAATTGTAAAAAAGACAGAAAGATAATAAAAAAGAAATGGGGACGCCACTAAAAATAAGAGAGACGAAGAATACGAATAAAAAAGCTAATAAACCACGACAGACAAGAGAACAAAAAATAAAAAAAAACTAAGGAAGGCAACCGAAAAACAGACGACAAAAAGAAATTTGGAAAGAAAAAGGAAAACACAAGGAAGACGATTAAAAAACGGCAACAATCATAAAAAAGAAACGCAACTAAAAGTAAAAAAGATGACAAAAAAGACAAGTAATAACGTGAAAAAGATGACATAGGCGACAAAAAACACAAAAAAAAAACGGGATGAAAAAACCCCCAATAAAAAACAACAAGGAAAGACAACTACAAAAAACGACGACCAAAAAGAAATTAAAAAAGGCGGAAAAAAACAAGAAAGACAGCTAAAAGAATCGACAAAAAACATGACCAAAAGTAAAAGAGACGAAAAAAGAAAGGGGGACAAAAATGCGGGCAAAATAAAATCGAAAAAAGTACCATTAAAAAAGACAACATAAAACAAAGTGTAAAAACGCCAGAGAAAGAAGCAACTAAAAGAAAATACAAAAAAGACAATAAGAAAGGCAATTTAAAAAAATGGTGACAAAAAACAACACATAAAAGAGACCATAAACAAGACGAAAAATAAACAGTGAAACAAAAGACAACTTAATAAAAACGAAGAAAACTGCAAAAAATGACAAAAAACGACGGAGGAAATGAGGACTAAAAATTGCGAAAAAACCAAAAAAAATCTAAAAAACACGACAAGAAAAGTAATAAAGAAAACGCCAAAAAGTACAACAAAGGCTCTACAAAAGCCAATAGAAAACGTCAAAAAAAGAACGATAAAAAACGGGAAAAGTAAGAAACGAAAGAGAAATTCAAAGAAAAGCGGGAAAAATACAAATTAACTAAAGACACGACAAAGAAACAGAATCAAAAATAAAACAGGCGATAAAAAAGGGACAAAAAAGTGGGTTAAAGAAAAAAGAAGTGACAAAAAGCAACAAAACACGAAGAAGACAACTAAAACACCACGAAGAAACGTGGGCAAAAATAAAAAAAGCGATGATAAAGAAAATCACAAAAAAGGGACAGAGAAAATGACAAAGAAAGCCACACAAAAGTCTCAAAAAGAGAAGGATAAAAAAGACAACAAAAAAACAAACAACAAAACGTAAGCAAATATAAGATAAAAAAAGCGACAAAAAATATTGGAGTATTACAAAAAATCCACATTAAAAAACTGACAAACAATATGAAAAGGAAAAAAAGACAAGCCAGGCAACTAATAAAATCATCAAAAAATGACGGTAATGGGTGCTAAAAAAGACGATAGAAAAAGCAATAATAACAAGAAGACGAAGACGAAAAAAGACAAGAAAGAATAAAAAAAGACACCAAACGAGATGACAAAAAATGCAAAAAAAAAAGAAAAATACGATTAAAAAAGCGAAAAAAGCTGACAAAAACGACAAACAAAAAGGGAAGAACAAAAAAATAAGAAAAAACCAAAGGAAGGAAGCCGAAAACAAAAGAAAGACATTTAAAAAAACAACAATAATTATGGCAAAGAAATGCTACTAAAAATAAAAAAGGTGACAAAAAAGGGGCCAAAAAACGATAGAAAAAAAATTTGGGAAAATTAAAGTTACAAAAGAACACCATAAAAAAGTGATACAGAAAGACGATCAAAAAATGCGAAAAAAAGAAAAAAAGAGCAAAAAAATGACGAAAAGGTAAAAAAGAACAAAAAAACCGACAAATACGGCGATGTAAAATAGGGACCCAAATGAAAGCGCCAAAAGTACAATTAAAAAAGCAAAAAGCAAAAAAATGTGGGAGAACAAGGAAAGACAACTACAAAAAGTGACAACAAAAAACAACAAAAAAGAAATTAAAAGAGGCGGAAGAAAGACTAAAAGAACCGACAAAAACATGCACAAACAAACTGAAAGGACGACAGAGAAAGAGACAAATAAAAGAAAAGGCAAAAAAGACATCAAGAAAGGCAATTTAAAAAAATGGTGATAAGAAACAACACAAAAAGAGCATTAACAGGACGAAAAATAAAGTTTAAAAAATGCGGAAACAGACAAAAAAAGGCAACTAAATAAAAACTGCAAATTTTATATTTTAAAAAGCAATAGCAAAAACTGGCAAAAAACGATGGAGAAAAAGAGGACTAAAAATTGCGAAAAAAATAAAGAAACATGTAAAAAAGACGACAAGAAGAGTAATAAAAAATGCCAAAAAGTACAAAAAAAGCTCTAAAAAAGAAATTTAAAGAACGGCGGAAAAAATACTAAACAGATAACTGAAGACACGACAAAGAAACAACCAAAAATAAAAGAGGCGATAAAAAGAACGATAAAAAGCAACAAAAAAAAAAGATAAAAAGTTGACAGAATTAAAGTGACAAATGAATAGAATTAAAAAAGTAAAAAACGTAAAAAAAATGACATGGACGACAAAAACAAGTAAAAAACGCCGATGAAAGAAAGCGCCAAAAATTCAATTAAAAAAGCAACAAAAAAGTTGACAAAAAACGACAGAGAAAAAGGGGGTTAAAAAAATACGGGAAAACAAGAAACGACGACTAAAAAAAAGACAAGAAAGGCAATTTAAAAAAATGGTGGCAAAAAAGAAATTAAGAGGGTGGAAAAAAAGACAAGAAAGGCAATTTAAAAAAATGGTGGCAAAAAAGGTTATAAAATCACAGTAGACAGGTTACAAAAAACAACAAACACCTAAAAAAGACCATAAACATGACCAAAAATAAAGTTTAAAAAATACGGAAACAGACAAAACAATAAAAAAAACGCCAAAGCGAAAAAATTGCTAAAAAATAAAGAAAAATGCAAAAAAAGACGAAAAGAACAGTAACAAATAACACCACTAAATGATACAAAAAAAAAAAATACAAAAAGCCACAGAATAAAGGACGATAAAAAAGCGACAAAAACAAAGAAGAATAACAACAACTAAATAAAAACGACACAGAAACGTAACCAAAATTAATTGGGACGAAAAAAATGGCACAAAAATTCCAAAAAGTGGGCAAAAGTAACAAGGCAACATAAAAAAAATGACTGCAAAAACGACATAGAAAGCGAGACGACCAAAACATGCGAAAAAGACAAGAAAGGAAAAGCGACAGGAAAACCGATAAAAAAATGACAAAAAATGACAGACATAAAGAAATTTAATAATATAGTCTATAGTGTAATATAATGTAGGTACATATAATGTAATGTAAGTATATTTAACAAATACAAATAAACAAAAATTACAAACTATGTACAGTGTGTTAATAAATTATTAACATCTAGTGAGCTATGAGACAACAAATGCAAAAAAGCGAAAAATAAAAAATAGCAACGTTAAAAAATGACCTGAAAAAACATACCTAAAAAAACGCAAAAAAAGGCAAAACAGACGACAAGAAAGGTAACCAAAGAACAAAAGAAGCATACAAAATTCTAATAAAATAGTCATAGAAAATGGTGGCAAAGAAAGCGACAAAAAAAGAAATTTTATAAAGCCGGAAAAAAAGAACGAAGACAACTAAAAAAATACGTCGTAGAATCACGACAAAAGAAAAACTACAAAAAACGGCAGAAAAGGGGTGACAATAATGCGGCAAAACAGATGACAAAAAATATGAAGTGGTTAAAGTTTCGAAATTTTGATAAGTTGAGTGTTGCGAATCCACATTGTCACTAACTTTTGTCCACGACTTTACCTGTTCACATTTCAAACATCGGTATGTCCAGATGGTAGCTTTAAGCCTCAGTTAACACCAAACAACCCATTGAAGCATAAATGATAACAACACAAGCAATCAAACCACAATCAGAACGTTTGGTGCTACTGGAAAAATAATGAAACTCTTCATTTTACAAATTTTGCTGCTCTTCCACCACACTTTGTGCAAAAACGAGGTAAAACTTTCGATCTTCTTTTCTTCCTCTATACAGATTTTTTAAAATCTTCCAGGTCGTTGATTACCGTGTCGGTCTCCTAATCGACGGTTCGAAATTATGCAGCGGCTCTTTAATCAACGAAAACTACATTCTAACAGCAGGAAGATGTGTCCACAGGTACTCCCCTGTTTTGATTCTTATTTTAACTATATAGAGTATGTATTTTTCAGAGCGTTTGAGGTCAACGTTGTCATAGGCACCAAAAATTTACTAGTTCAAGCCAAATCCTCATACATTTCTACGACTTTCATCATCCACGAAAACAACACAGAAAATTTAGTACACAAGGACATCGCTCTTATAAAAATCCCCACATTGAACAACAACTACAGCATTAATTTTCCACAGTTACTTGAAGACGAAATTGTAGATGGCGTTACGTTGAATTTGTCGGGCTATAACTTGGAAAACTCCGACTGTCTTGCAACCTGGGGCGAACAACAAGTTAAAGTTAAAATCAACAGTGGGAAATGTCAAAACGTGGTACCTTGTGACACAGACAAAAAATTTTTCTTCTGTGCCACACCCAATGAAAACACTCTTTCAGGATTTAGAAACGATGGCAGCGCTTTAGTTGACGAGAACGATAATTTGGTGGGTGTTGCTTTGTATAATACAGAGGAAAACGCCACATGTGCTGTAAAAGTGTCATATTTTCTTCCATGGATTCAGTCTAAGATGTACAATTAAACTGGTTGCTTATTTAGTGTTTTCTGTTTTGAATAATACAGTTGGCGACCCTGAGTCACAAATAAGCACCCCTCCTAAACAAACTTTTTATTACAAATAATAACACGCTTACGACCTATTACAACATCGTTAAAATATATAAACACGAACAGAGAGCATAATTCCAAATGGCACACTAATTTTGCCCCCACGTACAGTAATCCTCCCTCGTGGCCGCTGTATACTCGTCAACCAAATCCTGCACCACCTCCCTACTCGAATCCAACTCATCCAGATTATCCTTGAACATCTCCTCCTTCCGGAACTGGTCCAAAAACGCCTCCCTCTTCCTCAATTTGTCATACTGGACCAGCGCCCTGTCGAACAACTACGCAAAAATAAAAACCATCTAAGTTATTACAAGCGCCCCCGCAGGTCTCATAATCACTCACCGAACTGATATTGGTGTGGTTGGCCAGCATGAGCCCCGACACCCTGTGCGCCGTCTGTATGTACGGACTCTTCCTCGACAGCGCCACCTGGATGCTCGCGGGCCCCCAGGGTATGAACTGCGCCAGCTTGCGCTCCCGGATTCGTTGTAGCGACTTGTGCACCTGCGTGGGGTCCACCTCGCCCTGGATGATGTTCAAGATCGAGATGAAGCAGTGCTGGGAGTTTCGGTCCTGCGAGGTGGACACCATCATGTTCTTGGGCTGGAGGAGGCGGCGCATCACGTCGAGGACGGTGGTCTTGCGCACGTTGACCTCGTCGGTGTCGGTGGACAGGGGGGTGTAGCCGGTCATGAGGTAGTGGAGGCGGGGGGTGGGGATGAGAGGGGCGAGCAGGCCCATGAGGTCGTTGTTCATGTACGAGGGGTAGCGCAGGGTGGTGGTGGACACCGACATGATGGTGCTGACGAGGCTGTTGATTTGGGTGAAGGTGGGGTTCTGGATGCGGAGGCGGTCGGCGGCGATGCGGTTGAGGGCGGTGTTGTCGAGGACCACGACGGAGTCGGCCGACTCGGTGAGGCGCTTGAGGGTGAGGAGGGAGTTGTAGGGCTGCACGACGACGTCACTGGAAGGGTTTTTTTATATTCAGAGATTCGTATTAGGTCCGGGATTATTGTTATTAAATGGCAATGATTCGTATAACCATAATTATAATAATTTTTCATCTTCAAAATAGCGAGAAAAGTGGGTTTTAAATTTCCAAAAATTTTCCCGATTTTTCTTTGGCGAAAAATTTGAAATTTTCCAAAAAAACCATTCAAAATGGGCTTATCCAGTGCGAATCAATATCATCTTATAAATAATTGCTCTCAGGTTACATTTCTGAAGTCACCGTTTCGATACCTCTTCAAAGGAGCGAAAAAATTGACTTTAAAATTTCCAAAAATTTCCCCGATTTTTTTTAATGGTTCTAATCGAAAGGACATTGAGACCGTCTTATCGAACTTTTCTCGTAGATTACAAATCGGAGATCGCTGTTGGTTTAGCTTTTCAATTAAGCAAAAAATCGAGTTCAAAATTTCCAAAAATTTTCGAGAAAATCTTCTAAAATTGGTTCATTCGCACAAAAATGGACATTCTGGAAAAACCTTGTAAAATTGGCTGGGCAGAGCAGAAAGAGATACCATCTTATTGAAATTTTTTTCAGAACACAAATCCGAGAAAGTTCAAAACTTCCAAAAATTTTCCAAAAAAACATTCAAAATGGGTTAATCCAATGCGAATTAACGCCATCTTATAAATAATTGTTCTTAGGTTGCATTTCTGAAGTCACCGTTTCGATACCTCTTCAAAGGAGCGAAAAAATTGACTTTAAAATTTCCAAAAATTTCCCCGATTTTTTTTAATGTTCTAATCGAAAGGACATTGAGATCGTCTTAACGAACTTTTCTCGTAGATTACAAATCGGAGATCGCTGTCGGTTTAGCTTTTCAATTAAGCAAAAAATCGAGTTCAAAATTTCCAAAAATTTTCGAGAAAATCTTTTAAAATTTGTTCATTCGTACAAAAATGGACATTCTGGAAAAACCTTGTAAAATTGGCTGGACAGAACAGAAAGAGATACCATCTTATTGAAATTTTTTTCAGAACACAAATCCGAGAAAGTTCAAAACTTCCAAAATTTTTCCAAAAAAACATTCAAAATGGGTTAATCCAGTGCGAATTAACGCCATCTTATAAATAATTGTTCTTAGGTTGCATTTCTGAAGTCACCGTTTCGATACCTCTTCAAAGGAGCGAAAAAATTGACTTTCAAATTTCCAAAAATTTTCCCGATTTTTTTTAATGGTTCTACTCGAAAGGACATTGAGACCGTCTTATCGAACTTTTCTCGTAGATTACAAATCCGAGATCGCTGTTGGTTTAGCTTTTCAATTAAGCTAAAAATCGAGTTCAAAATTTCCAAAAATTTTCGAGAAAATCTTTTAAAAATGGTTCATTCGTACAAAAATGGACATTCTGGAAAAACCTTGTAAAATTGGCTGGGCAGAGCAGAAAGAGATACCATCTTATTGAAATTTTTTTCAGAACACAAATCCGAGAAAGTTCAAAACTTCCAAAAATTTTCCAAAAAAACATTCAAAATGGGTTAATCCAGTGCGCATTAACGCCATCTTATAAATAATTGTTCTTAGGTTGCATTTCTGAAGTCACCGTTTCGATACCTCTTCAAAGGAGCGAAAAAATTGACTTTAAAATTTCCAAAAATTTCCCCGATTTTTTTTAATGGTTCTAATCGAAAGGACATTGAGACCGTCTTATCGAATTTTTCTTATAGATTACAAATCGGAGATCGCTGTTGGTTTAGCTTTTCAATTAAGCAAAAAATCGAGTTCAAAATTTCCAAAAATTTTAGAGAAAATCTTTTAAAATTGGTTCATTCGTACAAAAATGGACATTCTAGAAAAACCTTGTAAAATTGGCTGGGCAGAGCAGAAAGAGATACCATTTTATTGAAATTTTTTTCAGAACACAAATCCGAGAAAGTTCAAAACTTCCAAAAATTTTCCAAAAAAACATTCAAATTGGGTTAATCCAGTGCGAATTAACGCCATCTTATAAATAGTTGTTCTTAGGTTGCATTTCTGAAGTCACCGTTTCGATACCTCTTCAAAGGAGCGGAAAAATTGACTTTAAAATTTCCAAAAATTTCCCCGATTTTTTTAATGGTTCTAATCGAAAGGACATTGAGACCGTCTTATCGAACTTTTCTCGTAGATTACAAATCGGAGATCGCTGTTGGTTTAGCTTTTCAATTAAGCAAAAAATCAGTTCAACATTCCAAAAATTTTTGAGAAAATCTTTTAAAATTGGTTCATTCCTACAAAAATGGACATTCTGGAAAAACCTTGTAAAATTGGCTGGACAGAGCAGAAAGAGATACCATCTTATTGAAATTTTTTTCAGAACACAATTCTGAAAAAGTTCAAAACTTCCAAAAATTTTCCAAAAAAACATTTAAAATGGGTTAATCCAGTGCGAATTAACGCCATTTTATAAATAATTGTTCTTAGGTTGCATTTCTGAAGTCACCGTTTCGATACCTCTTCAAAGGAGCGAAAAAATTGACTCTAAAATTTCCAAAAATTTCCCCGATTTTTTAATGGTTCTAATCGAAAGGACATTAAGAACGTCTTATCGAACTTTTCTCGTAGATTACAAATCGGAGATCGCTGTTGGTTTAGCTTTTCAATTAAGCAAAAAATCGAGTTCAAAATTTCCAAAAATTTTCGAGAAAATCTTTTAAAATTGGTTCACTCGTACAAAAATGGACATTGTGGAAAAACCTTGTAAAATTGGCTGAGCAGAGCAGAAAGAGATACCATCTTATTGAAATTTTTTTCAGAACACAAATCCGAGAAAGTTCAAAACTTCCAAAAATTTTCCAAAAAAACATTCCAAATGGGTTAATCCAGAGCGAATTAACGCCATCTTATAAATAATTGTTCTTAGGTTGCATTTCTGAAGTCACCGTTTCGATACCTCTTCAAAGGAGCGAAAAAATTGACTTTAAAATTTCCAAAAATTTCCCTGATTTTTTTTATTGGTTCTAATCGAAAGGACATTGAGACCATCTTATCGAACTTTTCTCGTAGATTACAAATAGGAGATCGTTGTTGGTTTAGCTTTTCAATTAAGCAAAAAATCGAGTTCAAAATTTCCAAAAATTTTCGAGAAAATCTTTTAAAATTGGTTCATTCGTACAAAAATGGACATTCTGGAAAAACCTTGTAAAATTGGCTGGGCAGAGCAGAAAGAGATACCATCTTATTGAAATTTATTTCAGCACACAAATCCGAGATAGTTCAAAACTTCCAAAAATTTTCCAAAAAAACATTCAAAATGGGTTAATCCAGTGCGAATTAACGCCATCTTATAAATAATTGTTCTTAGGTTGCATTTCCGAAGTCACCGTTTCGATACCTCTTCAAAGGAGCGAAAAAATTTACTTTAAAATTTCCAAAAATTTCCCCGATTTTTTTTAATGGTTCTAATCGAAAGGACATTGAGACCGTCTTATCGAACTTTTCTCGTAGATTACAAATCGGAGATCGTTGTTGGTTTAGCTTTTCAATTAAGCAAAAAATCGAGTTCAAAATTTCCAAAAATTTTCGAGAAAATCTTTTAAAATTGGTTCATCCGTACAAAAATGGACATTGTGGAAAAACCTTGTAAAATTGGCTGGGCAGAGCAGAAAGAGATACCATCTTATTGAAATTTTTTTCAGAACACAAATCCGAGAAAGTTCAAAACTTCCAAAAATTTTCCAAAAAAACATTCAAAATGGGTTAATCCACTGCGAATTAACGCCATCTTATAAATAATTGTTCTTAGGTTGCATTTCTGAAGTCACCGTTTCGATACCTCTTCAAACGAGCGAAAAAATTGACTTTAAAATTTCCAAAAATTTCCCCGATTTTTTTTAATGGTTCTAATCGAAAGGACATTGAGACCGTCTTATCGAACTTTTCTCGTAGATTACAAATCGGAGATCGCTGTTGGTTTAGCTTTTCAATTAAGCAAAAAATCGAGTTCAAAATTTCCAAAAATTTTCGAGAAAATCTTTTAAAATTGGTTCATTCGTACAAAAATGGACATTCTGGAAAAACCTCGTAAAATTGGCAGGGCAGAGCAGAAAGAGATACCATCTTATTGAAATTTTTTTCAGAACACAAATCCGAGAAAGTTCAAAACTTCCAAAAATTTTCCAAAAAAACATTTAAAATGGGTTAATACAGTGCGAATTAACGCCATCTTATAAATAATTGTTCTTAGGTTGCATTTCTGAAGTCACCGTTTCGATACCTCTTCAAAGGAGCGAAAAAATGGACTTTAAAATTTCCAAAAATTTCTCCGATTTTTTTTTAATGGTTCTAATCGAAAGGACATTCAGACCGTCTTATCGAACTTTTCTCGTAGATTACAAATCGGAGATCGCTGTTGGTTTAGATTTTCAATTAAGCAAAAAATCGAGTTCAAAATTTCCAAAAATTTTCGGAAAAATCTTTTAAAATTGGTTTACGCGTGCAAAAAATGGAAATTAGGGAAAAACCTTGTAAAATTTGCCCAGTAGGGCAGAAAGAGATGCTATCTTAATGAAATTTTTTTCAGACCACAAATCCGAGAAAGTTCAAAATTTTCCAGAAGACTATTCAAAATGGTTTAATCCAGTGAGAATTAATGCCATCTTATAAATAATTGTTCTTGGATTACATTTCTGAAGTCACCGTTTCGATACCGCTTCAAACGAGCGAGACAAATGAGAAATTTCTAAAAATTTTCCATATTTTTTTTAAACGTTTTAATCGAACGGGAATTAATGAATTCTTACCGAAGTTTTCTCGTTGATTACAAATCGGAGATCCGTGTTCAGTTAGTTTTTCAATTATACGCAAGTTCAAATATTTCCAAAAATTTTGTGAAAATCTCGTTAAAATCGGCCTATTCGTACAGAAACAGAAATTTCGGAATCAACCAGAAATGCATTTCAGCTTATTTAAAATTTTTTTCAAACTACAACTCTTAAGAAAATCATGGTCAAAATTTCCAAAAATTTTCCAGATTTTTTAATCGTTCAAATCGAACAAACATTGATTTCATTGTATGGAAAATTCCTAGTAGAATAAAAATCAGAGATCGCTGTTGCGTCAGCTTTTCGGCACATTCCATTCCTTCGAGCAGAAAGAGAATTTTTTGAAAAATACTTAAAATTGGTCCACTAGACTAGAAAGGCATGACATCTTGTTGAAAATTGTTTTTAGACCACAAATCTATAGGCGCTACTTCCGCAAATAGCGTGAAAATCAATTCCAAAATTTTCAAAAATTTTCCAGAAAACTGTTCTTAGATTACAATTCTGAAGTCACCGTTTCGGACCTTTTCAAATGAGCAAGAAAATAGAGTTTTAAAATTTCAAAAATGTTCCCGAATTGTTTTTCAAATGTTCTAATCGAACACACATTGATGCCGTCTTATCGAAATTTTCTCGTAGATTATAAATCGGAAATCGTTGTTGCGTTAGTTTTTCAATTATACGCAAAAACTCGACTTCAAATATTTCCAAAAAATTTGTGGAAATCTTGTTAAAATTGGCCTATTCGTGCAGAAATAGAAATTTCGGAAAAATCTCGTAAAATCGGTCCAATCTAGTAGAAAAGCATGCCAGCTTATTGACAGTTTTTTTCAGATTACAACTCAGAAAATCATGGTCAAAATTTCCAAAAATTTTCCGGAAAACTCTTTAAAATGGGTTTATCGAGTGTGAAATTGATGCTAACTTGTAGGAAATTGTTCTTAGATTACAGTTCTCAAATCACAGTTTCAATACCGCTTCAAAGCAGCAAGAAAATTGAGTTTTAAATTACCAAAAAATTTTTCAAAAATTTTCCCGATTTTTTTATGCTACTAATCGACCGGAAATTGACGTCATCTTATCGAAGGTTCTACGTAGATTACAAATCGGAAATCGCTGTTGTGTTAGCTTTTCAATTAAGCAAAAAATAGAGTTCAAAATTTCCAAAAATTCTTGAGTAATTCGTCATTTTATCAAAGTTTTTGCGTAGATTACAAATTGGAAATTTTTGTTGGGTTAACTTTTCAATTAAGCAAAAAATTGAGTTCAAAATTTCAAAAAATTCTCGAGAAATTCTTTTAAAAATTACTCTGCTCGTGCACAAATAGAAATTTCGGAAAAATCTTGTAAAATTAGCTAAAATCAGGCGGACGAGAACTTCTTATTGAATTTTTTTCAGATTTCCTGAGAAAATCAAGTTCAAAATTTTCAAAAATTCTCAAGAAATTCCTTTAAAATTGGTTCACTCGTGCACAACTAGAAATTTCGGAAAAATATTGTGAAATTGGTCCAATCGAGCGGAAAGAGATGACTTCTTATTGATTTTTTTTTCAAACTACAAAGCTGAAAAAATCAAGTCCAAAATTTCCAAAAATTATCAAAAAAAAAAAATTTTAAATGGGTTAATTGAGTGCAAATTGATGCTATCATATACGTAATTTTTCTTAGATTACATTTCTGAAGTCAGTGTTTCGATGCCGCGTTCCAAAAAATTTTCCAAAAATTTTCCGGATTTTTGTTTTAATGGTTCTAATCGAACGGACACTGATGTCATCTTATGTTATCGAAGTTTCTACGTAGATTACAAATCGGAAATCGCTGTTGTGTTAACTTTTCAATTAAGCAAAAAATTTAGTTCAAAATTTCAAAAAATTCTCGAGAAATTCCTTTAAAATTGGCCCACCCATGCACAAATAGAAAATTCGGAAAAATCTTGTAAACTTGGCTAAAATCAAGCGGACGAGAACTTATTGAATGTTTTTCAGACTACAAATCTGAGAAAATCAATTTTAAAATTTTCAAAAATTCTCCAGAAATTCCTTTAAAATTGGTTCACTCGTGCACCAATAGAAATTTCGGAAAAATCTTGTAAAATTGATCCAATCGGGCGAAAAGAAATGCCTTCTTATTGATTTTTTTCAGATTACAAATCTGGGAAAATCAAGTTCAAAATTCCCAAAAATTATCAAAAAAAAATTCAAATGGGTTAATCGAGTGCAAATTGATGCTGTCTTGAAGGTAATTGTTCTTAGATTACAATTCTGAAGTCACCGCTTCGATATCACTTCAAAGCAGCGAGAAAATTGAGTTTTAAATTTTCAAAAATTTTCCAAAAATGTTCCCGATTTTTTTTTTAATAGTTTTAATTGAACGGAAATTGACGTCATCTTATCCAAGTTTTTACGTAGATTACAAATCGGAAATTGCTGTTGTGTTAGCTTTTCAATTAAGCAAAAAATTTAGTTCAAAATTTCAAAAAATTCTCGAGAAATTCCTTTAAAATTGATCCACTCGTGCACAAATAGAAATTTCGCAAAAATCTTATTAAAATTGGCTAAAATCAAAAGGGAGAGAACTTCTTATTGAATTTTTTTCACACTACAAATCTGAGAAAATCAAGTTCAAAATTTTCAAAAATTCTCAAGAAATTCCTTTAAAATTGGTTCACTCGTGCATAAATAGAAATTTCGGAAAAATCTTGTAAAATTGATCCAATCGAGCGGAAAGAGATGCCTTCTTATTGATTTTCTTTCAGACTACAAATCTAGGAAAATCAAGTTCAAAATTTCCAAAAATTATCAAAAAAAAAAAATTCAAATGAGTTAATCGAGTGCAAATTGATACTGTCTTGTAGGTAATTGTTCTTAGATTACAGTTCTGAAGTCACCGTTTCGATATCACTTCCAAGCAGCGAGAAAATTGAGTTTTAAATTTTCAAAAATTTTCCAAAAATGTTCCTGTTTTTTTTTTTAATAGTTTTAATTGAACGGAAATTGACGTCATCTTATCCAAGTTTTTACGTAGATTACAAAGCGGAAATCGCTGTTGTGTTAGATTTTCAATTAAGCAAAAAATCGAGTTCAAAATTTCTAAAAATTCTCGAGAAATTCCATTAAAATTGGCCCACCCGTGCACAAATAGAAAATTCGGAAAAATCGTGTAAATTTGGCTAAAATTAAGCGGAAAAGAACTTCCTATTGAATTTTTTTCAGACTACAAATTTGAGAAAATCAAGTTCAAAATTTCCAAAAATTATCAAGAAAAAAAACTTTAAAATGGGTTAATCGAGTGCAAATTGATGCTACCTTATAGGTAATTGATCTTATAATACAGTTCTGAAATCACCGTTTCAATACCGCGTCCAAGCACCGAGAAAATTGAGTTAAAAATTTCCCAAAAATGTTCCCAAAATTTTGCCGATCTTGTAAAATTGGTCCAATCGAATGGAATGAGATCCCTTCTTATTGATGTTTTTTTTCAGACTACAAATCTGAGATAATCAAGTTCAAAATTTCCAAAAATTATCCAAAAAAAAAAACTTTAAAATGGGTTAATCGAGTGTAAATTGACGCCATCTTATAGGTAATTGTTCTTAGGTTACAGTTCTGAACTCACCGTTTCGATACCTCTTCAAACCAGCGAGAAAATTGAGTCTTAAATTTCCAAAAAAATTTCGAGAATTTTGCCGAATTTTTTTTTAATGGCCCTAATCGAACGGACATTGGCATCAACTTATCGAAGTTTTTACGTAAATTACAAATCAGAAATTGCTGTCGTGTTGGGTTTTCAATTAAGCAAACAATCGATTTCAAAAATTTCCAAAAATTCTCGAGACATTCTTTTAAAAATTGATCCACTCGTGCACAAATAGAAATTTCGGAAAAATCTTGTAAAATTCTACAAATCTGGAAAAATTTCCAAAAATTATCAAAAAAAAAAAAATTTAACGAGTTAATAGAGTGCTAATTGATGTTGTCTTATTGGATTGTTATTAGATTACAGTTTTGAAGTCACTATTTCGATACGCTTCAAAGCAGCGAGAAAATTAAGTTTAACATTTCCAAAAAATTGTCCAAAAATTTTCCCGATTTTTTTTTAATGCTTCTAATCAATAATTCAATCAATTGACGTCATCTTGGTCAAATTTTACGTAGATTACAAATCGGAAGAAGCGTATAATTGTTTTCAGCTTCACACATCGTTAATATTTATTATTGTGAAACTTTAACGTCAAATGTCACAATCTGACATTTGTCATACCAACCACAACAAAATTCCCCAAAATTTTAAAAATCCAGTCCATATTTTAAACTTTTTAATTATGGGAAAACGCTCAAAAATCATGACCTATAACACCTATCAAAGCAAATAAATACCTGATTTCATCCAAATTGGGGAACACGCTATATGTCTGCACCAGCTTCTTCGGAAACCTATCTGACAGCTTCTCCAGAATATTCGACCCCATCCCGGAGCCCGTGCCCCCGGCGATCGAGTGGCACAGTACAAACCCTTCCAAACTATCACTCCCATCGGCCTCTCGGTCAATAATATCAAAAATCTCCTCGTTCAGCTTCTCCCCCTGCGAATACCCACTAGCCCAATTATTCCCCGCGCCGCCCCCGTTCTTCGACAAAAACACATTCTCCTGGTTATACAGTTTCGAATACGGGGAATTGAGTATCGTGTTGATGACCCTGGGCTCCAGGTCCAGCAGAACCGCCCTCGGAATATAGTGCTCGTCATCCGCCTGGTAGAAAAACACGTCCTTGCGGTCAATCCCCTCGGTGGCGAAGTCCTCGAGAATGCCTTCGGGGTTGATCCCGTGCTCCGCGCACAAGCGCTTCCAGAATTCAAACCCGACTAAAAAAATTGACATAACCTCAAAAAATATAAACAAACGACGAGTGACCCACTCTGGTTGCCGCACTGGCCCAGCTGGAGGGTTATCATCTCGCAGGGCATCCTGGAGGTGGTGTGGCGACGAAGGGCGAGAAAAACACTTCAGAATTTGAAAAAAGGGCACGACTTGACACTGTTGACAGTTAAAATGCGCCGAAAAGTTTGAACAGAAGGACGGCTGGGATTGGTCGATGACGCGATTGGACGATCGATTGACAGTTTCCAGGCACGAAATTTGAATTGTTTTATCAATAAAGTGAGGGAAGATGTCGGTGGTGGCGCAAAATCCACCCCCGGGGGAGGAAAAGACTAAGTATGGGCTGAAGGACCTCTTCAACGCGCCGCGGTAAGCCTAATTAATTTTTTGAAATTGTGCGAGTTGGACAGGGTCGGAGTGGGGTGCACAGAGCCGTAACGCGCGTTTGTTGCAGGATGACGAAAGAGTACCTTTTGAAACACTGCAAAGAACTCAAACTATACCGCACCCCGCACTTAAACGACGTCTTATATTTACACTTCAAAGGGTTTTCATACATTGAGAATTTGGAAGAATACACAAATTTGAAATGCTTGTGGTTGGAGAACAACGGATTACGGGAGATTAGCGGGCTTGACCACCAGACGGAGCTCCGCAGCTTGTTCCTCCACTACAACCTCATCAAAAAAATCGAAAATTTACAAAACTGTCCACTCCTAGATAACCTCAACTTAGCCCACAACCAAGTGAAGAAAATCGAAAATTTGGACTCAATTAAGCAGCTGCACACTCTCAATTTGTCACACAATTACGTCGAAACCATCGACGATTTAAAACACTTGGCGGAACTCCTCGAGCTGTCAGTTTTGGACTTGTCGAACAACCACATCGACGACCCACTTGTGGTCGAAGTTCTCGGTAAAATGCCAGAGTTGAGGGTTTTGAGTTTGATGGGTAACCCAGCGATTAGGAAAATACCAGCGTACCGAAAAACCATGATTTTGGCTTGCGTAAGTCGGTAGTTTGTCTAAATGTAAGAAAACATACATTTTTCTATGAATATAGAAAAACTTACAATATTTGGACGACCGTCCGGTGTTTCCACGGGACCGCGCATGCGCAGAAGCTTGGGAGCGTGGAGGAGTGGCTGAAGAAAACGCAGAAAGACAAAGATGGATTGAAAGAGAGCACAGAAGAATCATGGAAAGTGTTGACGGTGAGTAGTTTCTTGTGTATGACGTCACAAATATGACATTTCGTAGCTGTCATCGCAATGAGGGATCGAAGAAGAGCAGAAGTGGCCCAACAGGTGACACACAGTGACAGCGGTGTCGGTACTTCGGTTGCTGATTCAGAGAGTGAAAGTAAAGGCGGTGAAAGTACCTCCAGTGATGAAGAAGGCGAAGAAAGAGAAGAAGAAAGTGGAGATAATTTCATGAGGGATCGACAAACCACTGAAGATTACTCCGCTTATAGAGAGAGAATTTTTGATTTTAGCCCGAGACGAGCGAGCGAAGGGAGATTGCTGGTTGAAGAAATTAAAGAAGAAACTTCTGAAGAATGTGCCGCCGCGGAGCTAGAAAACAAAGAAAGTATCGATAAAAAGGGACACCACACACTAGATGCGGAGAAGCTACGGGAACTCCTGACTGAAGAAATTAAAAAGGAAAAAGAAGATGACCAAAATATGGATGAGTGTCTTGGTGACATGATGAAAGCAGAACACATGGAAGAGAAGAACGAAGACAATTGTGAAACAAAAAGTGCAAATGAAGCAACAGATGACCATACTTACGAAGAATTTATTGAAGATGGTTGCCTAGAATTACTCTTCGCAATGGATGAAGATAACGATACAAAAGTTGAAGAAACATTGAATGCAAATTGTGATAAAAACCTTGGAGAAGATCTGAAGATTTTCAAAACCGAAGAGGAAGAAATTACTGACGAAACGCTTGGAAGAAAACTCGTTGAAGCAGTGGATAAAATAGCAGAGGAGATGAATGAATCAGACGAAGAAAATTATGGCAGAAGCCTTGTCAACGCTATTAATAGAATGCATTCCAATGAAGAAACAGATAACCAAATTGAAGACAAGCCTTCAGTAGCACCAACTGAAAACCAACAAAATGAAGCACCACCAAACCAAAACAAAGACCCCATTGAAGATATGGGACGAAAATTGCTTGCAGCCATCGATAGAATGACATTCGAACTCAGCAAACAAGAAGAAAGAGAAGCCGCTAAAAAAATCAACGAGAAAAAATTCACCTCTGTGGGAGTGTGCACCGAAGAAACCCAAACCCAAACCCAAACTGAAGACATAGAAAAACGCTACTACGAAGAACTAGATGTTTCCAAAAACACCGACTACGATCATCTGCTAGAGCACAACGACGGCCACAAGACCCTCGAAAATTTAAGCGACCGCTTTATAAGAAAACGCGACGTTCCGTTACCTCCATACGTCGAAGAAATAGATGCTGCCAACCCTGGTCAAGAATACCGGGAAATTTTGACGTGGAAGTTGAAGATGAAGGAAGACAATACGAGAATTCCGCTGCCAATCATAAGACGAAAAATCGAGGTAGATGAAGATGACGAGTTGTATGAGTTAATTGAAGCAATGAAGAAAGATGAGGAGTTTTCGGTGGTTCCGCCGGGAGATATCGCTGAAGAGAACGACGTGATTTTGTATCCACGAAGAAGGAGGAGTTTGGGAAGATTTGAGGGTGAAGATAACGATTGTGGGAATGTTGCGAAGTCGTTGGCTAATTTAAGGAAAGAAATGGCGACGTTTTGCGAAAGTATTGAGGAGTTTATTAAGAGCACTAAATTTAATGACAGGAAGAAGAATGAGGGAAAAGGTGAAACGGAAGATGTAGATGACGGAAAGAAGGAGAAAGATGGAAGCAAAGATATCCGTGAATTAGATGAAGATACGCAAATTGAAGATAGTGGTGATGGTGTGGAAGATGAAAGGAAGAAAGAATTAAGTGATGATGATATGAACAAAATTGGAGATTTAACGTCGGCAGATAAAAGTGAAGATAGAGATGGCGAAGAAAAAGATGAATGTAAAGAAGAAGAGAAAGACGATGGTGAGGATGCTATTCTTCATGTTGTCAAACGAGAAGTTACTTGTACTCTTGAGATGCAGTTAGCCAACGATCTATAGTTTTTTGTTAGAAATAAAGATTTGTTGTTTGACATGTTTATTGCACATTGACACATATTTTAGTAATATACGTGACGTCACACGCAACAGTTGGTGGTTATTAAAGTCCCTAGGAATTTCCTTATCTAAAATATTTAACCGTCTCTTGTTGTCTGTTGTTATATTCTTCAGCGTGGTTTCAGGATTTGTTGACATTTCATCATTTACAGGAGACGGAAATGTTGGTCTTCCGTTTCCGTTTGTCGGTCTGTTAGCGATTTTAGTTAATAAAATTTTTCAACGAAATATGAAAAATTATGAAATTTTTAACCTTTTCTCGTCCTCTTTAGAAAATTATCTAAAGATATTTTTTAGTACATTTCGACCTCGAGAAGTTATTTTCGGCTTCATTTCTTCGAAAATTCTTACCATTTTCTCCAAACTGTCAGTTTTTCAAAAAAATTGACTTTCAAATCGAACAATTCTCCAAAATCTACAATATAGCAATTTTTAGGATTTTCATACCGAATATTTTGCTCTGCTCTATTTTTTTTGTGAATTTTGAGGCAATTTTTTGTTTATCCGAATTTTCAAATTCTCCATTTTTACAATTTTTCGATTTTTAATTTTTCAATTGTCTCCTCGTACAATTTTTTTAAATTTCTGTTTAAATATACTTGTATTTTTTTTAAGCAAAAAAATAAAAATCGAGAACCTGGAAAATGAAAAATGTAACAACTTAAAACCGAAAAATTGAAACAACGAAAAATGAAAAATTAAAAATCGAAAACTCGAAAAATTCAAAAGTAGAAAAAAAAGAAAAAACTGGAAAATTAGAAAAAAACAGCAAACGACGGAAATATTCAAAAAATAAAAATTGAAAAAAAAAATTTCAATTTTTTTACTTAAATTTTTTTTCATTTTTTAATTTCTCGATTTTTCAGTTTTTCGATTTCTCAATGGTCCAATTTTTCAAGTTGTCAATTTTTATTTTTCAAGTTTTGATTTCTAATTCTTCAGCTTTTCGTTTTTATATATTTTCAAATTTTCAGTTTGAATCTTTTTCTGAAAAACTGAAAAATTACAAATCGAGAATTTGGAAAGTTAAAAATGTAACAATCAAAATAAAAGAACGAAAAACACTGAAAAATCGTAAACGAAAAACTGGAAAATTCGATAGTTGAAAAATTAAAAAACTTCGAAATATTGAAAAATTCATGTCAAAAAATTGAAAAATTTTGATTTTAAAACTTGAACAACAAAAAACAGAAAAATTGCAGATGGAAGAATTAAAGATCAAGAGACTGAAAAATTGAAAAATGGAGAAATTAAAATATCCAAAAATTGAAAAATATTTGGAGATGCGTATTCCGGAATTTCTTTTTTATTTTTTTGGACATGAAAACCTCAAAATTTTCTTTTTGAAAATTCTTACCTCTTTTGAATTACTTTCAAAAATTAACCTAGGAGATTCTTCCCTGAATTTTTTTGGATTTTTAGGCAACTTTTTTTCAAAGGCTCAATTTTTCCCCTTTGAAATTTGCAGCCTTTTTGGGCCACTTTCAAAAATTACCAAAACATTTTTTTGTAGATTTCGACTTCTAGAAGTGTTGCTTTTGACTTTACATTTTTCAATTTCACAATTTTTTCCATTTTTTAATTTCTCGATTTTTCAATTTTTTGCTTTCTAATAAAAACTGGAGAATTCGATAGTTGAAAAATATAAAAATTCGAAATTTTGAAAAATTCATAAGTCAAAAAATTGAAACATTGTGATTTTAAATCTTGAACAATAAAAAACAGAAAAATTGCAAATAGAAAAATTAAAGACCAAGAGACTGAAAAAGTGAAAAATTCAAATATCCAAAAATTGAAAAATATTTGGAGATGCGTATTCTGGAATTTCTTTTTTCATTTTTTTGGACAATATTTTGAAAAGCGCAAAATTTTTTTTTTGAAGATTTCGACCTCTTGAATTACTTGCAAAAATTACCCTAGGAGATTATTTCCCAGAATTTTTTTGGATTTTTAGGCAACTTTTTTCAAAGGCTCAATTTTTCCTCTTTGAAATTTTCAGCCTTTTTTGAACCACTTTCAACAATTACCATAAGATTTTTTTGTAGATTTCGACTATTGTTTTTGACTTTACAATTTTTCAGTTTCTCAATTTTTTCCATTTTTTTATTCCTCGATTTTTCAATTTTTTGATTTCTAATTATTCAATTTTTCGATTCACTGTTACGCCTTTGCAAATTTTCAAATTTTCAGTTTGAATCTTTTTTTGAAAAACTGAAAAATCAAAAATCGAGAATTTGGACAGTTAAAAATGTAACAATCAAAACCGAAACATTGAAAATTCGTAAAATAAAGAAACGAAAATCTGGAGAATTCGATAGTTGAAAAATAAAAAAGCTCGAAATTTTGAAAAATTCGCAAGTCAAGAAATTGATAAATTTTGATTTTAAAACTTGAACAACAAAAAACAGAAAAATAGCAGATGGAAAAATTAAAGATCAAGAGACTGAAAAATTGAAAATTAGAGAAACTAATATATCCAAAAATTGAAAAATATTTGGAGATGCGTATTCCGGAATTTCTTTTTTCATTTTTTTGGCCAATATTTTGAAAAGCTCAAAATTTTCTTGTTGAAGTTTTAGACCTCTTTTGAATTATTTTCAAAAATTACCCTAGGAGATTTTTTCCCAGAATTTTTCTAAATTTTTTAGGCAACTTTCTCAATTCCTGAAATTTTCCAGTTTTTAATTTCTCGATTTTTCCAAGTTTTGCTTTTTTATATTTTTCGATTCACTCTTACGACTTTGCAAATTTTCTAATTTTCAGTTTGAATCTTTTTTTGAACAACTGAAAAATTAAAAATCGAGAATTTGGGCAGTTAAAAATATAACAAACAAAACTGAAACATTGAAAAATCGTAAACGAAAAACTGGAAAATTCGATAGCGAAAAACCAAAAAATCAAATTTTTAAAAAATTCGTAAGTCAAAAAATTGAAACATTTTGATTTTAAAACTTGAACAACAAAAAACAGAAAAATTGCAAATGAAAAAATTAAAGATCAAGAGACTGAAGAATTGAAAAATGGAGAAATTAAAATATCCAAAAATTGAAAAATATTTGGAGATGCGTATTCCGGAAATTCTTTTTTCATTTTTTGGGCAATATTTTGAAAAGCTCAAAATTTTCTTTTTGAAGATTTCGACCTCTTTTGAACTAGTTTCAAAAATTACCCTAGGAGATTTTTTCCCAGAATTGTTTTGGATTTTTTAGGCAACTTTTTTCAATTTCTCAATTTTTTCCATTTTTTAATTTCTCGATTTTTCCAAGTTTTGCTTTTTAATTCTTCAATTTTTCGATTCACTCTTACGACTTTGCAAATTTTCAAATTCTAAGTTTGAATCTTTTTTTGAAAAACTGAAAAATTAAAAATCGAGAATTTGGACAGTTAAAAATGTAACAATCAAAACGGAAACATTGAAAAATCGTAAACGAAAAATTGGAAAATTCGATAGCGAAAAATCAAAAAATCAAATTTTTAAAAAATTCGTAAGTCAAAAAATTGAAACATTTTATTTTAAAACTTGAACAACAAAAAACAGAAAAATTGCAAATGAAAAAATTAAAGATCAAGAGACTGAAGAATTGAAAAATGTAGAAATTAAAATATCCAAAAATTGAAAAATATTTGGAGATGCGTATTCCGGAAATTCTTTTTTCATTTTTTTGGGAAATATTTTGAAAAGCTCAAAATTTTCTTTTTGAAGCTTTCAACCTCTTTTGAATTACTTTCAAAAATTACCCTAAGGGATTATTTCCCAGAATTTTTTTGGATTTTTTACGCAACTTTTTTCAATTTCTCAATTTCTTCCATTTTTTAATTTCTCGATTTTTCCAAGTTTTGCTTTTTAATTCTTCAATTTTTCGATTCACTCTTACGACTTTGCAAATTTTCAAATTTTCAGTTTGAATCTTTTTTTGAAAAACTGAAAAATTAAAAATCGAGAATTTGGACAGTTAAAAATGTAACAATCAAAACCGAAACATTGAAAATTCGTAAAATAAAGGAACGAAAAACTGGAGAATTCGATCGTTGAAAAAGACAAAAATTCGAAATTTTGAAAAATTCATAAGTCTAAAAATTTAAAAATTTTGATTTTAAAACTTGAACAACAAAAAACAGAAAAATTGCAGATGGAAAAATTAAAGATCAAGAGACTGAAAAATTGAAAAATGGAGAAATTAAAATATCCAAAAATCGAAAAATATTTGAAGATGCGTATTCCGGAAATTCTTTTTTTATTTTTTTGGACAATATTTTGAAAAGCCCAAAATTTTCTTTTTGAAGATTTCGACCTCTTTCGAATTACTCTCAAAAATACCCTAGGAGATTTTTTCCCAGAATTTTTTGGATTTTTTAGACAACTTTTTTCAATTTTTTAATTTCTTGATTTTTCCAGGTTTTGCTTTTTTAATTCTTCAATTTTTCGATTCACTCTTACGACTTTGCAAATTTTCAAATTTTCAGTTTGAATCTTTTTTTGAAAAACTGAAAAATTAAAAATCGAGAATTTGGACAGTTAAAAATGTAACAATCAAAACCGAAACATTGAAAATTCGTAAAATAAAGGAACGAAAAACTGGAGAATTCGATAGTTGAAAAAGACAAAAATTCGAAATTTTGAAAAATTCGTAAGTCAAAAAATTGAAAAATTTTGATTTTAAAACTTGAACAACAAAAAACAGAAAAATTGCAGATGGAAAAATTAAAGATCAAGAGACTGAAAAATTGAAAAATGGAGAAATTAAAATACCCAAAAATCGAAAAATATTTGAAGATGCGTATTCCGGAAATTCTTTTTTTATTTTTTTGGACAATATTTTGAAAAGCCCAAAATTTTCTTTTTGAAGATTTCGACCTCTTTCGAATTACTCTCAAAAATTACCCTAGGAGATTTTTTCCCAGAATTTTTTGGATTTTTTAGGCTACTTTTTTCAATTTTTTAATTTCTTGATTTTTCCAGGTTTTGCTTTTTTAATTCTTCAATTTTTCGATTCACTCTTACGACTTTGCAAATTTTCAAATTTTCAGTTTGAATCTTTTTTTGAAAAACTGAAAAATTAAAAATCGAGAATTTGGAAAGTTAAAAAAAAATGTAACAATCAAAACCGAAACATTGAAAAAACGTAAAATAAAGAAACGAAAAACTGGAAAATTCGATAATTGAAAAATCAAAAAAGTTCGAAAAATTTTTATTAACTAAACTAGAAAAAGTTCCATAGATTGGTAAAGGAACTTTTCACTCGTCACTGTATTGCAAGTAACCCCGGAGTCAACAATCTAACACTGTGATTCATACATATCCAAGTTTATCATCACTATATTTACCCATTGTTCTGATTTATCAGTAAAAGTGTAAACAATGAGCCAATCCCACTATTTTTAACCACACACTCTTTAATAACTTTAATTACATCAATGCGCTTAATTAGGTAAGTCGTCGAACAACGCAATTACCAACCAGATTGAGCCCCCGACTCACGCCCGACATTTGCGTAGCGCACCGAGTCATAAAGATACCTTATCTTATCGTGTACGTTCCATTCAAAATTGACAGTGTCAGCCCAACTCAAACAACCGCTCGGATTGCATCCTCAACATGGGCTCCACGATGAGCGCAATCATAAGAATCCGCAACTCCACCAACTGCGACATCACTTCAATCTTCGCCTACGAAATCGACAGCTTCGACTTCGGGAACTGCCGTCCGGACAAGGCCTTCAGCCGCACCTCGATCCCCGCCGGCGGCTGCCTGGAGAAAACCGTCGACTTCTCCACCCTCTCCTCGAACTGCCCCTTCACCACGAAGCTGGTGTTCGCCAACGGCAGCGAAGACGTCTTCCGAATGAACTACAAGTGCATTTTCGACGACAACGAAGCCCACTTGAGACACCTGACGAAGTCGCACAGGATCAACCTGAAGAAAACCGGGCCCAGAGTCCTGGAGATCATCGTCGAGAACACGGAGCACCAGCTGGAGAACCAGAAGGCCGAAGTGCTGATCAACGAAGGCTGTCGATTGATGGTTCTAGGGAGGTACAACGAAGCGTCGCTCAGGTTCATGGAAGCGGCGCAGAAAGCTAACGAGAACCCCACGATCCTGGACCTGCAGAAGCACCGACAGAGGTTGAAGAACGTCAAAGACGTCGCTGAAACGGAGAAGAAGGCCAAGAATTTGAACCACGAGGGGTTGCAGTGTCTGAAGGCGGTCCAGTTCCAAGACGCTTTGAAGAAGTTCGATGAAGCGTTACGTTTGACTAAGAACATGGAGACGATCACTCTGATTGAAGACAATTTGAAGATCACCAAAGACGCGAAGATGAACCAAGACGCCAAGAAGCTGAACCAAGAGGGTTTGCTTCTGCGCAGAAGCAACCAGAACCAAACTGCCATCCACAAGTTTGACGAAGGGTTGAGAATCGCGAACGACAGGGGTTTGATCACGTCGATCAAGCGGAACAAAGCGGACACTCTAAACAAAGAA